CATGCACCATGCATCGAGAGACCAGGTTTACCCAGTATGCACCAGGCACAGAAAGACCAACTTTACCCATCATGCACCATGCATCGAGAGACCAGCTTTCCCAGCAGGAACCATGTATTGAGAGACTAGCTTAACCCAGGATGCACCAAGTGCAGAAAGATCAGCTTTACCCAGCATGCACCACACATATAGAGACCAGCTTTACCCAGCATGCACCACACATAGACTTCCGCTTTACCCAGGATACATCATATATATACATACAGAGACCAGTTTTACCCAGCATGCAGCACATAGAGAGACCAGCTTTACCCAGCATGTACCACACATAGAGAGACCAGCTTTACCCAGCACACACCAGGCACAAAGAGACCAGCTTTACCGAATAAGCACCATGTGCACAGGCATCCAGTTAGGTGAAAGTTTGGTCTGAAAGCCCTTTGGTTGCACCGCTCACCCACCTCGTGCTCTTTCTTGAGCATCTCCATGGCTTCCTGGAAGCGCTTTTCCTTCTCCTCAGTCTCGGCGATGGTGGCTTGGTTTTGTTCCTCATAGGCCATGGCGACCACAGCCAGGATCAGATTCACCAGGTAGAAGGAGCCCAGGAAGATGACGAGCATGAAGAAGATCATGTAGATCTTCCCTGCAGACCTCAGGGTCTGGGGAGGGGTGGGAGAGGAAAGCAACAGAGTTCACTCACGGCTTTGCCTCGTCACACAGCCCGACTATGCAGGGGTCAGACAGCCACTGCGTGGGTGGGGAGACAGACCCATCTCTGGGGGGGATGTCACGTCCCATCATAGGAGGGCTGTCCCACTCTCTAGAGAATGACCTTCACAAGAGGGCGAGTGTCCTATTCATAGAGGGACACAGAACAACCCATGTAAAGAGGAGTGTTTCATTCATAGGGGAGGAACGTCCCATACCACAGGGAGCTCTGGTGGCTTAGTGGTAAGGAGTTGTGCTGCCAACCCCAACGTACATGGTTCAAATTCACCAGCTGCTTGCTCCATGGGAGAAAGCTGGGCAGTCTCCTACTGTGCAATTTACTGCCTCTGAAAACCCGCTGGAGGGCCAGCTATGAGTCAGATCTAACTTGATGGTAAACAACGCCAACAGAAGGTAGAAGAGGGGAGTCTTGTGGTCTAATCTGTAGGAAGGTGCACTGCCAGCCCAAAGGGTATGCGTCTTTGGTGGTTCAAATCCACCAGCGACTCCACAGGAGAAAGACGGGGAATCTCCCGTGCAATCCACCGCCTTGAAAACCTGCTGGCAGGTCAGCTACGGCTTGGTGTCAACTTGATGGCAACAAGTTTGAGGGTTTGTGTTTTTACGGTTTATAAAGTACAAGAAGGAGGTGAGATGCACAGGTGAGACAGAGGAGCTGTCTATGAGGTTAAGCGTTGAGGGTTTAACTCAAAGCTCAGCTGTTTGAACCCACTGTTTGTTGAAGGGATAGGATGACATCATCTCCTGCCACTGAGATTTACAGCATCGAAAACCTGGTGGGGTCAAAGGGAGGAGTGTCCACTCACCGAACAGGAAGAAAGAGTTAGCAACACAACTCCTACAGACTATGCCACCAGAGCATCCTGTGTTCCATATAAAGGATGGAATATTGGTCACAAGTGAAACAAAGTCTCTTTTTTTCTGGATTCTCATTTCTCAAATACAACGTCCCGCTGTCACTGTAAGCAGAGCTGTTGTCCACAATCGGTAAAGGAAGATGGAAGCCCTGTCCTGCTCCTGCCCTCCCCCAGGTCTGCCGGTGGGGAAGCCTCTGGGGCCTTTTCTGGCCTGGCCGGTCCCCGGTGCAGAGTCCTGGGCCCCACGTTCCACACGCACCTGCTGGTAGAGACGTTCCCAGCAGTCCTGTGTCATCAGGCGGAAGAGAGCCAGGAAGGCCCAGGCGAAGGAGTCGAAGCTGGTGTAGCCGTGGTCAGGGTTCTGACCTGCCTTCAGGCACCGGTAGCCCTCAGGACATGTCCTGCAGTTCAGAGAGGCGGCAATGCCCTGAGCTACACTCCCTGGGAAGCCCAGCACATGCCCACCGCTCTGTGAGCCTTGGCTTCACAACCTACTGCCCGTTGCCAGGCTCTGCCTCCATCATGCTTGTACTGTGCCCCCACCAGGCACCAACTCCTCTTTCCATTGTATTTTGGTGTCCCCCTTATGTCCACATGACACCTCTTCCAAGAGTCTGGCTCCCATCTCTCCCTCTGCCCGTCACCCATGGGGAGCACAGAGCAGGCGGACAGGGAGAGCAGAGGCCTGGGCAGAACAGGACGCAGAGAGGGCAAAGGTCAGGCCCTGAGGTTGGGGAGTGATTCTGGGGTGGGTGGGCTGGGGTGTGGCCACGTCTACAGCAGGCACCTAAATGCCCAAGGGGTTCTAGAACAGATTCAGAGAATAGCCCACGAATGAAGCTATTTCAGCGTCAGAGCCCCTGGGCTTTGGAGTGACCTGACATGTCGCTGAAGCTGTTCCGTTGCCCGGGGTTAGTTCAGCTGAGGCAGAGCCTCCATTCATGAAACTGGAGGTGACAGTTTCTCTCCCAAAAGGAGGCTTCTCCCATGTATATGGAGAGAGGGAGGGAGGGAGGGAGGGGAAGAGAGAGAGAGAGAGAGAGAGAGAGAGAGAGAGAGAGAGAGAGAGCAAAACAGACAAACAGACTTAGCTAGCTGGAGGATGCAGCCAGGAGAACCAGAGGCCTCTGGACCTGCTAATACCCTAAGGCCTTCTAGACAGTCTCCTTAGCAACAAGGAGGCCGCAAAGCGTGGCTCTGGAACCTCCTACTTAGAGCTCTGGGAACAGAACTCCAATGAGCACCAGCAACCAGGGTGGTCTGCGTGCCACCTCCTCTGATACCCCACGTCACAGCCACATTGTCCCAACCTCAGAGGCTATAGAGGACCACGGGGCACCTCGGGGTGCCCTACTCGGGCCCTGCATCCCCTCGAAGAGCATCCAGGCTTCTGGGGACCCCACTCATCCCTGACAGAGCAGCCTGAAGAATCTTCTAGAAGGAATAGAGCCAGGGCTGCAGGACTGGGCTAGTGAGGAACCCCCCCGCCCTTGGCTTGTTTCCAAGGCTGTGTTAGTCTTTTCTGTCCCTCTGCCCCTGCCCTTTCTCTACCTCCTGCAGAGCTGTCTCCCCCAAGGTGAGGAGGGGTAGAAGCTGATGGGAAAGCCAGGCCCTAACTGTCCCAGCGCTCAGGTGCATAAACAAAACACACCACCAGTAGAGAAAGCACTAGAAGACCCTGTACCCCTCAGCCGGGCAAAAGGGAGGGCGCCACATACCCGGCGTCTGAACTGTTCCCACACAGTAGCACGTCCGAGGTACCATTCTTCAACAGGTAATTATCTAGAAGAGAGGATTCAATCATGAGGGGCCCTCACCTGCACCCAGGGTCTTAGAGAGGCCCAGACACAGGTGGTGATCTTTCTGATATCTGCCTCTGCCCTGCCCCCTGTTCCTCTGTCCAAGGCCACCCTGGCCACCTCCCTGACCTTCTCCTGCTCCTCCTCAGACCTCCAGCTGACACGTCTCCCATGCATTTGAGAGCACAGGAAGTCCTCAGCAGGGGCTCAGCCGTCCTTAGGGGTGGGGGTGGGGGGCTTCGGCTCCCACTCCAAACCACTCAACGGGCCAACAAGGGCCAAGGTAGGGCTCTGGGAAGACTTCCGGATCTACTGCTGAATGACCATGGGGCTGTGGCAGACAACTGCCCAGCTCTGGACCCACTTTCTCTGTCTGAAACGGGCAGAAGTGTGGCCAGCCTCGCTCACCATGACAACAGTCGGGTGTGGTCAGGTGGGGAGGGAGCCTGGATTGGTCCCGGTGAGATCCAGGACTCCAGGCCCTCTTCTCTCCTCTCTGTGGCCACTGTCCAGTCATCATCGGGCTCTATTACTTGACCTTAGGGTTGTTTCAGGTACCAGAACCGACACATAGCTGACCTTCCAGTGCGTTTAGAGTCAGTAAACTACATGGGAGGAGACTGACTACTGCCTATCTCTGCTCCAGGGCAGCTGGTGGCTTCAAACTGTGCCAACTCCTTACCACTAAACCACCAGAGCTCCCACCGACTAGGGCAGTGCTTCTCGAAGCCCAGCATCCAGGGCGCCAACTAGGGAGTGGTGAGAAATTCCACTTCCTGAGCACTAGACCGGATCTGCGGGTGCAGAAACCCAGCAAGCACTTCCTCCCAGAGTCCCGCAGAGACCCTGGTGAAAGAGAAGCTGTGGAATCATGCTGTGCAGTGTGTACAGTTCTGCGCTTTGCTGTGGGGCTGATTCTGATCACAGAAGCCTGGAGGACAGAGGAGACTTGCCCCAGGGAGCTCTGGTGGCTTAGTGGTAAGGAACTGCACTGCCAATCCAAAGGCACACGGTTCAAATACGCCAGCTGTTCCGAGGCATTAAGATGGGCAATCACCTCCCGTACGATGAACTGCCTCTGAAAACTCTTTGGAGGGTCAGCTATGGGTCAGTTCTGACTTAATGGTACATAACAACAACAATATCTACAGAAACAGACTGTCAGAGATTTCTCCCATCGCATGACTGCTGGGTTTGAACCAATGACCTTTTCTGCTTTGCCATTAGGTCTCTTTCTATACACTACAGATAACCCACAACAAACATACTGAGTGTCTATATTTCTTTCTTTTCTTTTTTTTAAATAAATGGGCTGCTGGCTTATGTGAGTGGATCTACCTTCACAATGTGCTGAGGTCTGAAATCTGGCCTGGCACCAGAGTCGCCCTCTGGTCTACATGGAGGGCACTGGCCAGTAGCCTGGGTAAGGAGGTGGCAGCCCCAGGGCTGGGGGGCAAGGCAACGTGAGCGCTCACACCACTTTGCACAACTATAGAGCTTGCCTGGGCCCTGTCCTGGCACTTGGGAAGTGCATGGTGATGGAATTAGGACCTTGGGGAAGAGTCCCGAGTTAACTAGGAACCTCTCCACTTGAATGGTGGAGCCTATACTCTGACATCTCACCGACCACCAAGCTCCAGGTCCCTCCTTCCCCTAAGTTCACACTCACCGTCTCTCCCCCCAGCTGCACTATACCGTTCTCGACACTCTGGGCCTGGCCTCCCTCTAACCCACCTGACACTAACCACATCAATTCTCAAGCATCGTCCCACCAGCCTGTCTGTGAACTCCAAGAGCAGGCCCTTAACCTTCTCCCCTCCTGTCCTATCCTGCTGCCCCCAAGGGCCGTGTGTGGGATCCCTGTGTACACTGGGTCTCTGCAGATCAGGTGGGGCATGGAAGGACCCCAGACAGGCCCGCGTGGAGGCGCCCGGCCCCAGGCATCTCTCAAAGAGCTCTCTGGGCGTCCAGCTGGGCAGCGAGTGAGTGCACACCTTCGTGGTTGAGGTACAGGTCCAGGGATTCCCAGACCTGGCCGTTGCCCTCCACCGAGCCGTTGGTGCCGTTGAGCACCACAAAGTCCCGCACACACTTGTGCCTCAGGTTGCCCATGAAGAGCTGCAGGCCGATGAGGGCAAAGACGCTGAGGCAGAAGACGGTGAGGACCATGACGTCGGCCAGCTTCTTCACAGACTGGATGAGGGCGCCCACGATGGTCTTCAGGCCTGGGGGAGGCGAGGAGGAGTGCCGGGTCACTCAGGGGGCCTGAGATGGGGCAGGGGCAGGGTGAGCTTCCACGGGGTGGGGCAGGAGAGAGACCTTCTTTAGGTTCTTTACGTCCCAACCCCCTATTCATTGCCTCTCAAATGTTCCTGGTCTTGTACCTTCAGAGGGGCCCTGGTTTTCTTTTCTTTCCACCACCCAAATACATAACGTGGTTGTGAAAAAAACATGCTGTTTGGTTAAAGTAAAAACTTGAAAGTCTCTCTCTCTCTGACTAGTCCCCAGACATGCCAAGCTAACACCTTCAAAGGAGCCCCAAGTCAAAGCAGGGGCCTCAGCGCTCTTCTTGAGAAGGGGAGAGACTCAGCTCTCCCTGGAAGGGACCCTTGACCCCCTTCTCTTTGTGGCCAGCCCAGGAGGTCCGGAGTGGTCAAGCAAACTGGAAAACTCTAGAGCTGGGACCAGCCAGGACTGGTGTATGGGGGTGCTGGGGGCTGTGGGAGGGTCTGGCAAGGCCATGGTGGGTAATGTTCTAAGGGGCCCGTGCCATCCTCAAGCCCCACTGTGGAGGAATGTTCTAGGGCAGGGGAGGTGCACCCCTATATTGTACCTTCCCACTTGCTGTGTCCCTCTGTCCCACCCCCGTCCAGTTCAGCCCCCAAAGCTGACAGGCTGTGATGGGTTAGTTGCCCGGCCCAGCTCCCAGCGGAAGCCAGCCCCACACACAGCGGAGGGACTGACAAGCACGTGTTGGCGCGTCTGGCCCACGGATGCCAGAGAGCAGCAGAGCGGAGCACCAGGAGCCAGGGCTCGCTCACCAGCAGCAGGGCCCTGTCCCCCGCAGCCCTCCCACGCGGCCAGATCTCAGATTAAGCCCCATCCATCCATCGTCCAGCCGGTTAATGTGTTAGGAGCACCCGTGGCTGTGGTGCCCGAGGCCCAGAAACCAGGAGGCAGCGACGGACAAACACGCAGGAGAGGGGACAGGTCGCCCTCCACGTGGTGCCGGACGCTGCCGCCCGCCCAGGCTCAGGAGGCACACAGAGCTCACAGCAGAAATCATCCTGGCTGGCGTTGGCAACTGCCTGGCACTGGGTGGGCCTGGACCTGGGCACAGGGATTACCAGGTGCAGGCGAGGGGGAGGAGGTAGGTGCCCTGATGGCATGATTGCTCAGCCCTCAGCAGTTAACTGGAAGGTTGGCAGTTCGAATCCACCTGTGAGAACAAGACCTGGGGTCTGTTTCCGGCGCCTTCATTCAGAAAACCTTACGGCCCAGTTCTGCTGTCGCACTAGACTGTCAAGTCAAAACTGACTGAACAGCGGCCAAAAACCAGGAGGGAACAAGCAGGACTCAGTGTGAACACAGAGTAAGTGGGAACTTCTTTTACAAAGTAAAATATATTCTTGTACAGCCTTTAAGCTACATCTTCGTCCAGGTGAAGCCGCCGTTGATACAGCAATGATCTACTTTCCAAAGCAAGAGGGGATGATGCAGCTCTCTGGACCACGAAATCCTTCTCTTGAGCTCAAGCACCTCCCTAGAACGGTGGCAGGCCACCTGCCTCCAGCAAACGTCATCAAAGAAATGCTTTTTCCACTTCCAAGAGGGGCTGAATTCAGAGAAGGCTTCCAGAAGGAGCTGCTGGCCTTGGACCCTCTGAGAGCAAGCTCCTCACAGCAGGAAGACCTGTACGCTTCGACTGAACTTTAATCTGAAAGAGTGAATGCACTCAGGATACAGACTGACTCCCACGTGGCACCAGCGAATCACAGAAGGTGAGGGCAGAAATCAGACAGCTTTAGAGGGGCTTTCCTCGATGGATGAGGAGGAATGGCTTTCCAGGGAGCCTGTGTGGATCTAGAAGTTTCCCCAGGGATAATTGCCAACATCTGCCAAGGAGGATTTCTTCCGGAGGCCACCATGCATGGTCTGCTAGACTTCTATCGCACCATGCAGCGAGGGCTGTTAGACGCCAAGGGTGGATGGTGCCTGTCCACAGATTACACTCTTTGCACAAAGGGGGGACTGGGGGTCTGCATGAGTGGGGATCATCAGAGGGTGGAGAAGGCACCTGGCCGTAAGAGACGGCACTGGAATTTTCTCTTTTGGTTCTCTACGTGTACGGGGGCCTCCTCAAACACAGTTCTCTGGGCTTTCTTCTCAGAGAATAATGCTTTGAGCTGAAGCAGTTCGTGTAATTCCTGTACACACTTTTAAGCTATTCAAAGGTCAAGGTGCAGTTTCGAAAAGAAACAGGCCACCTTGGGAAGAATTTGGCCTTCTGTCTGGAGGAGCTGGGTTCAAGTGCAGCCCCTGCTGTGAGGCGCTCAGTACTCCTCTGGGGGTCCTGTGAGGGTGGGCTGCCTCCAGCCCCTTCAGAAGCTTTGCGGGGGCACCTTGTGCCCACCACCCACAGCCCCCCACACTCAAGCTCTGGGAAAGGTATTCTGGTGACAGGCACATCCGAAGGGACCTTCGCAATGGTCGCCTTGGCTCCCAGGTGGCTGGGAAGGCCGGGCGGGTCCCTCCAGCCCTGGCGTTTAACCTGATTTTCACCTGAAATGACCGATATAGTTTTCAGGGCCCGGAGGACTCGGAAGGTGCGTAAGGCTGAGACATTGCCCAGGTCCACAAACTCAGTGGTGTATCTGTAACAAGGGAGAGTCACATACAAGAGACAGTGATGACACGCCAGGAAGGAGGCACACGGTCACAGGAGGAAGGGGTTGGGGAGACAGAGAGAGAGTCACTTGGAGTGGAGACCCGAGGGCCGGGCCTCGGCATCTTACCTGGGATAACTGAAATAGTTTTAAGAGCTCTCAGGACTCTGAAAGTTCGAAGAGCCGACAAATTGCCTAGCTTTATATTTTCTGATACATACCTGCAGAATCAAACCACAGTTATTGGGAATTACAAAGCGAAACCTTAGCCGGGCATCCCGCCAGCCCTCGCCCATCTCCTCCCCCAGGGACGGTGGTGGCTGGTCCCAGGAGATTCCCTCGGGGTTTTCCTCCTCATCTTGACCCTGTGGATCCACTCCGGGGTGCTACAAGGATGTCCACACCATGAGCTCTAGGCAGCTCTCGGGATGGTCCCCTGAAAACCCTGCCACAGTAACTATGCCACAGGGGACTATGGACACATCTGCAGGGCTGGACTTGGGGGGGCATGCCAGAGAGAAGGGGGTCTGGGCTGGAAGTGGGGGGGAGGCAGGCCAGAGAGAAAGGGGGGGAGCTCTGAGTCAGGAAACTCAGGTCAGGGGATGGAGGACGCGAGGGGGGTTTTCATCCTGGTTTTTCTGGGTCTGTTTAGTATTTAGTACAAGGTGTGCTGGTGATGCAGTGGGTTAAGTGCTGGGCTGTTAACTAAAATGTCAGTAATCTGGGATCCCCAGCTACACGGTGTGAGAAGCCGGGGCAGTCGGCTTCCTAAACATTTAAGCCTTCGGAACCCAAAAGAGCACCTTACTCCACTCTCTGGGGTAGTTATGCATTGGAATCAACTTAACGTGAGTGGAGTTAGATTTTTTGGGTGGTCTAGTAGCTGCGCTGCAATCCCAAAGGCATGCAATTTGAGTCTACGAGCTGCTCCGTGGGAAGACGGCGGGCTCCTCCCGTGTGATTTATGGCCTCTGAAAACCAGCTTCTACTCAAAAGCACACAACATAAACAACAACATCGCTCCAGAGAGTGGCTGTGAGTCCTTGTTGACACACTGGCACTGGGGCGCTAGAGGCCTAGTGCGTAAGGAGTTGTGCTGTCAATCCAAAGGCAAGTGGTTCGAATCCATGTACTGTTCCGAGGGAATAAGACGAGGAATATTCTCCGGAAGGATTTACAGCCTCTGCAGAATCACTGCAGGAGGAGGGTTGGCAAGGATTCGATCTTGACTCCATGGCAATGACTTGGACTTGACGGTCTGGTCACTGAGGAAGGATGTGGGTGCTGTTGCAGCTGTGGGCCCTGAAATTCTGGCTGAGACCACGAAGGGAAGGCCGCCCCTTCCAATTGCAATCTCTGTGCACGGAGCAGCTCGGGTGTTCCTGACATCTCAGGGTAGATTCCATGGGGAGTTCAGAGTTCTCATGACAGCTGCCAGCAGATGGGAAGGGAGGCTGCTGGGATATCCAGTCCTTCAACCACTCACAGCCACCGGCCAGCACAAGGGGGGAATGAAGAAGGTGAAGGGACCTCTAGTCTCATGTCAAGACGCTTTATGTCTGCAGGAGGACAGACGCTGAGAGGAGGACGGCCTCCCTTGAGGGCCAGTCTGCTGCTGTTGCTGTGGACCGTCGAGCTGGATCCGACCCACAGCTGACCCTCCAGAGGGTTTCAGAGGCAGTTAATCGCACGGGAGGAGACTGCCTGTCCTTCTCCCGCGGAGCGGCTGGTAGAGAGCCAGATCTGAGGGATACTCAGCAGGACCGACCAGTGTGGTGGCCACCACAGAGTGGGCAGTCACCCCACCCAGGGCCTTCATGGGCACAGAAGGTGCCAGTCCTGAAAGGAGAATCTTCCCAAGCAGGGCGTGAGGACATGCGGCCCACAGACCGCATGACCACAGAATGTCTGAGAGATGCATGGACAGTGTGTGATCAAGGCCATTGGGACAGACCTGGACTTGTGATATTTAACCAGTGACTTCGGTTCCGAGGTGTCTGACATTTAACCGCAGGTGTCTAGTGTTTAACAAAGGGCAGCGGACTCCTGATGTCCCGCCATATGTCTGACCAGAGCGTCTGAGTGACATCAGATCCAAGGTGGCAGCCCTGAGACACAGTGAATGCCTGGGGGGCTGACAGTGCACTGGGCTCCATCTTCCGGCCAGTCTGGACCTCCAGGCCCCTTCACCCTGTCCAGTGTCCGAGGCGCTGACAGTGCACTGG